AGATGTTTAAAAAATCATTATTAAATAAATTGCATTGCTTGTACATACGATACAATGAAAGTTTATTGATATCTTATTTCGAACCTGCGGCATTTGTAATTGTAAAGAAAAGATATTATTACAAATTACAAATATAAATGACTGCAATTTTTATCACACAATATTTGCATCAACAGTTATTTAATAATTTTCACGAAAGTATTTTTATAATTTTAGCATCCAAGGGGGTTTTATATAAATATATAACAATATTTTTGTAAAATGTTCATTCAAAATATTTATTTTCCAAATTCAATCACTTCTCCTGAATCGACTTATCAACTTTTCCTACAACGGTTATAAAATTAATTAGGCGAACTTGTTAAAATGCTGACTATTAAAACATAAAATACTAAAATGTTCTATCGTCGTATCAGCATGAAAATTAACCCGAAATGGAACCGTTCCCACAGCCTGAAGGAGTTCTTGCCCCAATCATACGTGAAGGTAAAGGGTATCGAGAAGAAGATCTTCGCGGAGCACAAAAAGCACGCCGCCGTCTCCGAGCTCGACGCCAAAGTCCTTTACACGAAAACGGCAAGGTCGTTGAGCACATACGGCGTGACGTTCTTCCTGGTAAAAGAAAAGATGAAAGGCAAGAACAAGCTTGTGCCGCGTTTGCTCGGCGTCACGAAGGACTCCGTGCTGCGACTCGACGAGAAGACGAAAGAGATCTTGAAGACCTGGCCGCTGACCACTGTCCGACGTTGGGGAGCCTCTCCGAACACGTTCACCCTCGACTTCGGCGATTATTCCGACCAATATTACAGCGTGCAGACCACCGAGGCCGAGCAGATTTTACAGCTGATTTCCGGTTACATCGACATCATCTTGAAGAAGCAGAAGGCCAAGGATCACTTCGGCATCGAGGGAGACGAGGGCTCCACTATGGTTGAGGACAGCGTGTCGCCTCTAAAGTAAGCTTTGCTTCCGCTTCATGTGCTAATTTGTTAATTGAGACTGCACGAAGCAGTCAGGCGCGTCTTGGTGCATTGAACACGGTAGGTGCAGGTCTGGGGTCTAGGAAAATGTTATCAGAAAATTCTTTAGAGAGCTAATGAGTGCAGAATTAATTAGATTGATGATGAGGCAAATTTTCATTTCCGTGAATTATTTTGTAAAAATTTCAGGAAGAGGACAAATTTTCTGCACTGGTTAGAGGTTGTCTTGTAGTAAACATAAAGTAATGTTACAATATTCATACTTGTTGATATGCTAGTCTTCTTGCATTTTACAAATTTATAGCCGCTATAATGGTGCTAATAATGATTGTTCGTGGTTTAAAGGATAATCCAGTTTACAAGTCTGAAGAAACTGATTTTTCTTAAGTTCCTTTATTCATCTCTTATATAAATTTCTTATCGTTTTTACAAAATAGTACATACTTTATATTGATTTGTTATTTCACTTAAGTGAAATATTTGTATTGCTTCTAAAAATTTGAACAATTGCTGACAGTTGATGTTTACTTTTCAAAATGTCATAATTCTTATAGCTTTCGGTATTCTTTTATCATGGCACCATCTGTAGCCGCATTTATTAATTTAATTTTGTATATGAAACCAGTAGAATTTCTAATTTTATTTTAGAAAACACGTAACATCGTGTTTCGAAGTACAATACTTTCATAACGTCACGTGCTTTAGGCCTGTGAACACTATGCTACGGTCCTGCAAAGATGTGGGACAATTATCGATGCTAACTGAGCTCTGGAGTTGTCAGTTCCTTTTTGTCGTACGCGAAGAAACTGATTAAATGGTTCTCGAGCTTTCGTTTTTTGTAACTTCGAATTATGGAGGAGTTCTTGAGACAAAGATACAGGAGCTATATAGACGCTAGAAAACGGTATGAATTTTAGTTTGTGGCACTTCTCCGCTTTGATTTTAATCATTTGTAATTTGAGCAAAGAATTCTCTTGCCTGAGGCGATCTTAAACTTAGACGAAGTTGCAGATACTCTCCTTTAAAATATTAAGAAAGTTACTTAGAACTCTAAGACTACGAAAGATTTTGAATAGATAAATCATTCTGCATGCTTTCCTGAGCTTATTCCTTAATTCGTTCCTTTCTTTTGTCAATTAAATTAAAATGAAAGGCAAGTAACTTCGTATAATTTTAAACATCTCTCCCTCTCCCTCTCCAAAGGGTTTCAGATAAAATGTGGGCACATATAGTTTTAGTCGCATGAAATAGTGTTTTATAAAATAATGTCCTTCCTGATAAGATACCAAGGAAAGTGAACAAACTCGAATAAAAATTAACAATATATAGTAAATAGTAAATAATAATAGTAAAAAATAATCCACATACGTTGCGTTAGGATGTATTATAGCTGCTTCTAAAATAGACAGATTCAAATAATTTATGTTAAAATGTAAAAAACATCTTGCAGATAATTGACACATTAAATTCGTATCTAAACACGGTATCAAATGGACATTTAGTAGTAATGTTTATCATGGAGAAATAAAAACCAATGTTTGTTTTTTCTTCGGGTCACTAATTCTATTTAATTTTGTCAACAGAGCAACATTCATGCAACACGCAACAAGCAACGTCGGCAAAGGAAATGTAGAAGCTGTATCAGTGGCTATACCAGCAGTCATGAGAGTCGGAGATGGTAAGAAATCTCCTATATTTTTGCAGTTCCTCCAAAATCAGTGTCTTGTATCTATAAATTGTCGTTTAGATATCTTACTTCTATTGTCGCTAATGATGATAACAATATCGATTTCCAAGTAATTGTGATATTAATTCGTCCTTAACGTAAAGTAGTTTATGAATGATCTAATTTTTGCTACTTTAATGAAAATTTACTAGATTTATTATCCACTATTTCATCTAAGACGACATAAGACACTGCATTTGGTTATTGCCTGAAATGGTGAAAGGCAAAAAGGGAACCTAAAAAACCCTTGCACGTTTGAATCCTCCGGCATTAGCTATTGATTTCGTCAATTTTGTACATACTATACTGCTCGTTCGACAAGTTTAAACGGAATCCTACGTTAGGAGCATAGCGGCCAAACATTTTGTATTGTTTCATCGCAAACAACAACAGAAAATAAGAAAATCGCAGTACTTAAATGAAAATTATTTGGATCGTAATTTTATTATTATTATTATTTGGATCGTAATTAATTGTTTGTAGAAATCGATTGTGCTATTTTCAATTGAATAGAATAATTTTGATTCATTCATTTAGTTTAACTCGAACTTTTCTAATTATTGCTGATGGACTAAGAAGCTTATGAAATAGAAAATGTATTTTTTAAATATTAACATCACTGTTTAGTCTTACTAACGTGAGAAAAAAAGAGACATTTCCATGGTAACCAAATTATGGGGTGCAGTATAGAAAACTTACAGATTAGTGTTGTTATTAAAGTCATTCAAAATTTGTGTTGTATATTTTGGAAGTGTACTACACTAAACTAAGTTATAAGTAATTAATTTAGAGATTAAAATTAGAATTTCATACATAAATAGAAATGATAAGTGTTTTGTATAACATCAAGTTTATTTAAACTTGAACAGACCTTCCCAGACACCAAATATATAGAACGTAAAACGGTTCTGGTAAAACGTTACTGCGCTAGATGCTGTTATAATATTATCAATATAAAAAAAACAACGTGTTTAATACAAAAAATACCAGATATATAGATTTTTATCGTTTATCGCCAATCTTTTTTCTGATGTCATTTGCCTTCAAGCATTGCTCTAGAGCAGGCATGACAAAACAACACAGAACATCCCAAATAAAAAGAACGAGATGGATAAACTTCTATCTCTATTCTTTTGTCGCTTTCTCTCCCGTGATTTGCCCTGAAGCTTTGCTCTATAGAGTCCTGGGATGAGTAGGAATCTAGGAATTCTAGAGCAGCGAATCCAAGCCTATTACTGGATCTCTACACAGAGATAGCAAACTAGATAATTGGAATGCAAATCTTCAGACGGCTTTAAAACTTTTTAAAGCAACTACAAGAAACAGAAGTTCATTTCATCTTCTATTGACTCTATTTACACTGATCTTTCGTATATGCAATAGAATATCCGTTACATGGACTAATTAGAGAATAAAAGTGATCACGCGAGAAAATTTTCAAACGTTGGGGAAAATGATTAAACTTAGAAAATCATTCTGAATTAATAAAAGATGTTTTTCAGCCCCTTTGACAAAAGTAGTGTTCAATTAAAGTTTTAATAGATGTCTTTTGACCCTTTTGATAAAAATAGTGTTAGATTAAAATGTCTTATGACTACCTTAATAAAAATAGTGTTAGCGTTTGAACCGCTCTGACGACGGTTCTTTAAACTTGTCGAACTGTATATGTCTGTCTCGTCGTTCCTTGCGTAAAAGACGCCAGTGAACCTGAAGAGCTTTTCTAAATGTGTTGCTTCGCATCACGGAGCCGATTAGTGGGTATCTAGCTTCTTGTTGAGCGTGCTCGGTGTCGTGCAATCGATCGTAACGATCGATCATTGTAAATACCACTCGGATAGTTGCATGATACGATTTATAGGGGCTCGACCATATGAGACTGGGCACATGGGCGGTGCTCAATACACGACTGTCAGCGGCCAGGTGAACATCGCTCACGCTCCACCGATGGTAAGAGCTATGAGAGACTTACAGGCACTTGCTCACGTTGAATCCCAGTGTCCCGCGCTAATTGGCGTTAAACGTCTTCGTTTGAGATCATTCAGAAACATGTAATTACCATACCTTTGGTATTTCATAGTTATACCATTTTATCAACTATTGCACATTGGTTCAGAGTATCTGCATTATTCGATGACTTGTAAATCAATTGGCCTCGATAGCTGATGATTGCTTTTGTTTAAGAGAAGAACCCGGTTTATCAATCCAAAAAGATCAAGTTCTTTTTGCTTTAATCAATAGTAGCATACAGTGTATATTAATTTGCATCTCCTATGATGAAACTCTCGCTTAAATTATATCCATTTGTAACACATTTTTATCACTGAAAAATCAATACCTATTTCTTGAAGATGAGTACAAATTGCTCTAAAAATTTCAAGAAGAGTAGTTTTATAGTTTCTTAACACAAAATCGCAAAAGTTACCTTAATTTTGTGGGATTCTAACACGAACTCCACTCTTAAGCCCTTGATCATTCTGTGTATTTATACACCTCACTTAACAAGTATTAAAGACTAGCACTGAAGAATTTATTTCAAACCAAGCTAACTTTTGAACGATATAATCTAACAACACTTCATTATTATTTAAAAGAATAATTTCTTTTAGAGAGATAGTACATACATTAGAGAGTCTTAAGTAACTTAAGTAAGAAGTTTCATTTATTGTGATCTCCTTGAAATATTTTTCACCCATTTTTGCGAGAGTTAATTTTGTAAATGTGCATAGTTTTCTATTGTTTAATTTCGCTTCACTGTAGTGATGTTGATTTGAACCTTGTTTGGGAACAGTATATAAACTATGCGACACTGGACCTTCGAAAGAGCAAGAGCTATAGTATTTTCCACTGTAGTAATAGCTTAGATCGAGCATCTTTAACCGATCGCAGCATACATATAATCGGCAATACATTTAAGTTCTAGAAATCAGTGATAAGTTGATTTCGTTCTGAGTTGAAGCAAACTTTCATACGACTAATAGACGGTTAAATTTATTTTCATGCTAGGCGCCTTCTATTACGGACACAGAGTAGGTACAAAATCATGAAACTTTCAGTTGTTGTGCAATTGGTTACCGAAACACAATCTCAAACGCAACGATTTCCGTTTTAGTTTCATTCTATTACGTTTCTTTGGTTTTTAAATACGTGCAGACATCACTGATGTTCAATGGTATTTTTATTATATCGATTTATATGAAATGAAAACAGTGAAGTCTGTATTGCTGATCTTTTTTTCATGTAGCACACAGCTTTGTTCGCTATGTATTTTAAACTATTTCACACTGGTTATCGAGAAAATAATACTTTTACAGTATTTATAAGATAAATTCATTAGAGGTTGATTAATCTTTTATGGTTATTCTGAAACTATATATTCCGTATGTATATTATCCTTTTTTTTATATTATTACTTTTGTACATTAAGGTTTTTCAATGATTCAATTGGTTAATACAGGATTTACGATTACTAATATCAGATCTATATATTTTAATGAATAACTTACTAAATTATTTTATTCCTGTCTGTATTAAATAAATGTAACTTTTTGTAGAAACATTTATGTTTAAAGGAAAGAATGAAGGACATGATGAATAACATGAAAGATTGGACAATCTTATAATGTAAATCATAAAATTGGGATAGATAAACCAAAAAGTAATTGTTCAAGGTCGCTATGTGTTTCTAAAAACATAAATATACTATGTTCACTAATGAAATGTGTGTGAACAACAGTACTGAACTGAATAATATTTATTATCATGCTCGATAAATGTGTCCAATTTTGAACACAAAGTAGTAAAACTTATCCCAAATTTGTAATCCACCTCGAAATACAGCAGCACCTATTTCTCAAATGAATTTTAATGTTTCAAATATTATCCTGAAATGAAAGCAGTAAGATTGTTTACCCAACAATCTTCTGTTTGCAAGGTGTCCGTGTTGATATAGGTGCCACTGTATTGTTATATCGAGTAGATTGCACATATTTATGCAAACTTATACTTTTGTACTAAACTAACTGTAAAATAGAAAATTCAAAATCAGATGTAATTTTACTTTATCTACGGAAAACTTCCAAATCAGAGGATTTCTTTCGTTGTAATTTCTTTCTGCGAATCAGCTTCCGAAAGTAAAATACAAAAATGTAAAATACAAAATTCAAAATCAGATGTAATTTTACTTTATCTACTGAGAACTTCCAAATCAGAGGATTTCTTTCGTTGTAATTTCTTTCTGCGAATCAGCTTCCGAAAGTAAAATACAAAAATGTAAAATACAAAATTCAAAATCAGATGTAATTTTACTTTATCTACTGAGAACTTCCAAATCAGAGGATTTCTTTCGTTGTAATTTCTTTCTGCGAATCAGCTTCCGAAAGTAAAATACAAAAATGTAAAATACAAAATTCAAAATCAGATGTAATTGTACTTTATCTACTGAGAACTTCCAAATCAGAGGATTTCTTTCGTTGTAATTTCTTTCTGCGAATCAGCTTCCGAAAGTAAAATACAAAAATGTAAAATACAAAATTCAAAATCAGATGTAATTGTACTTTATCTACTGAGAACTTCCAAATCAGAGGATTTCTTTCGTTGTAATTTCTTTCTGCGAATCAGCTTCCGAAAGTACAAGTTTGCGCAAAGATATGCAGTCTGCCCACAGTTCTATGACCGACGACCACAACTGCTCGCATAAAAGACAATCTGAATTGACACCAGGTGCAACAAACCAAGGTCACATCCGTCCTGTCCGAACCACAACGTGCCTTACTATCGACTATCACCGCTGGTCACGAGGTGATCCATATCGCGGAGACTGAGCTGTCCTGCAAGGCATCGCTGCCCGAGCTCGGGACGGATCCAGCCTCTTTGAAATGGATCGAACAGACCATAGATACGCACAAGCAGAATGTCGGCTCGCAAATCGCGGCGATGAACGCCGCGACCGCGCAGGTTGTCACCTTGACTTCCGGTCCGGCCGACGACGTGGATCACACCGCGGTGGGCGCAGCGATCACTACAATCGCGAACAACCTACCCGAGATGACGAAGGGCGTCCGGATGATCGCCGCCCTTATGGAGGACGACACTTCCGGTGACAGGCTCCTGGACGCCGCCCGCAAACTTTGCTCGGCGTTCTCCGATTTATTGAAGGCTACCGAGCCTGAGACCAAAGAGGTATGGTCGCTTATCAAAACGCTGATAAACTATAGTATTTTGTTATCTAGAGTCCCGAGTGTTGACATCGCGATTTATGGAGAAATCTGAAGTCGAGACCATGGAAAGAATTTATTCTTCTTGATCTCTAACTTTTACATAGAGGAACCTTTGGAGTTCATTTTTAATGGATATAGTAGTATCTGAATTACATTTTGTAAATGTTTGAACTACAAATTGATATGAGCTCCAAGTAATGTTTCCGGTAATTTCAGCTTTGATCAAGTTGCAAAACGAAAGTAATGTGAGCTGCCACTAGTCTGCATACTTGTCATATTTTGAGTATGTAGAAAAAAGTAGAAGCTACATATTCAATTAAAACATTTATTACTTAAAAGTGAAGTAGAAACTTTGAATAAATAGTTATATCTCTGAATAAATACCAATGTTAGAGTATATGAATTTTAATACTACGATGTTGATGATAATTATGATAATAATCTTCATAAAATTTTTCTCTTTCTGATTATATGGTTACAAATATTCTCATTTATTCGAAATTCGTCTCATTCGAATTGGAAAATTAATGAACGTTGCTAAATGGTGCAGTATTTCAGTTTCTCTTACAGTTTTTAAAAAAAGGTAGAACATAGTTTTGTGACTGATCGTATGCAATAGAATAACATACTTGCAATATCTAAACAAATAATTAATTTGTTTAAATATGAA